TGGCCCCCGCCCCGCCCGCTCCCCTGCACGGCCTCCCCCCACGTGACTCAGTCAGGACATTACAAACCCTGCAACTGACCACAGGGCACTTAAGTAAAGGGGCCGTCGGCGAGCTGCAGTCACGTGTGGTCCTCCCCGTGGTCATCGTGAAACCAAAAACGGGGAAATGTTAAGCCAGCAAAACAGAGCTTCACACACTAGACCTGCAGCTCCAGCGACAGTGCCTGCTCACTCCCTGGGCTGGGGCACCCTCCCTCCCGGTTTCTGCTGTTAATGCTGTCCCTCCCGACCTCTGACCTCTGACCTCCGCGGGGCGGGACTCGGGTTCACCTTTTGGGTTGTTGCTGTGGAGTGTGAGGGTGTCAGACACTGGGGGCCGGTCCTCTGATTGGGCACCAGCTGGCGCTAGTTCACACACACACACACACACACACACACACAGCCGCGTGTGCAAGCTCCATCTACAGAACACAAAGCTGCGATCTGAGGAGGACCCCGTACCTGCCCTGAGCTCTGGCGGCTCCTTCGGAAACACTTTACCACAGTCAAGTTCTGCATTTGTTTGCCTGGTGGGCCAGAACAAAAGCATGGATGGATTGTTTGTGTGAACTAATATAAATTCAAAGTAAACATCATTACATAAAAGGGTACGGTCCTTTTTTTTTAGTTTTATTCATTTCAAAGGGGCCGGACTGGCCCGCGGGCCGGTAGTTTGCCCACGGCTGGGCTAGTCAGTGGTTTCACGTGCGCCGTGTGGGACCCGCACAGCACTGGGCAGAGTGCCGCGTGCAGGCTCACGTGCCACCAGTGACCTCACCGTCTCCCCAAGACCCTCTGCCGCCTTTGGAAACATCCGGAAGGATGCCGGGCACACCTCACCCTGCTCCTGCCTCTTCCGTGGGCCAGGGTGCAGGTGGGCTCACTGAGTCATTCCCCGGAACCCATTCTTAAGGAGTGGAATCCGTGGGTGGAAGGTCCAGATCTTTTGAAGACTCGGCCTGCGAGGCTCAGAGCGTGTTTTTCACCAGAGTCGGCCAGTGTGCGGCCCCTGCAGTGCAGGGCGTGTCCCGGCCC